GGCACCCTCTTGGGTCAATTTGGTCTTAATAGTTGTTCATAATCAATTACAGAATCGTCATTTAACCTCATGTTAACAAAAATATCGTTGCAAACCTTCACAATACTGATAACTAGATGCGAGGCATGAAGACTTCATAATTATTTACCCGAATTAACGAGTCACATTTAACGCCACCTAGGCGGGCACCTACCTCGTAGGTTAAAAATTAATAATTACAACACGAATTTGACAACTATGCACAGAGAATTTCATATAAGAATTTTCAAATAAGCCTAACAGGCATGACTCCCTATTAGTACTATAGTACAAATTTAATTTCACAAGGGAGAACTTAAACACAAGAATTTTTCCTCACAAGGATCTCGTCCTTATATAACTTTTACCGCAGCTCGTAGCCCGGTTTAAACATATCAATTTATATAAAAATGTGAGGATCTCGTCCTCAGTTCTGAATCACAAGTAATATGCACGTCGTGCCAATTGAAAATTTCCATTTTCTCCTTTTAAACAATTTCGGTTACACCAAATCACAACACATAATGAACCCCACATCGGTAAGGCATATAATTCACAATTTGCAATTAATTATTCGGAATTTACATCAAAACTTACCGAAATGAGTAACAGAAAGCCACATTTAGCCTCACAGATCTTATTAGTGACCAACATAGAATGATAGGCGTAGTTATCTCCATGGAATCTCCCAACAGGAGTAAACACATAAGTAGATTATAGAATTATGAAACTCACTCATAAGTGGAGCACAATAGGAGGACTCGTCTCGATACTCAGAACCGAATCAAGTTAAGGAAATTATTACTTTATATTATATCAAGGTCATACCTGTAACGACACCAACTGATGTAGCGACCTTCGCCATACCATAAAACAAATATATCAACGGCTGGGTCTCCACCTCTAGGATGCCTTCTACCCGTATGTCCTCCACCCCTAACTGGTCGTGTGGGTGGTATAGCAACTGCAATGGGGCACGTAGCCTGAGTTCTTTGATGAAATAATTCTCTCCCAAGTTTGGGACAATTTTCTCATAATGTGCCTAGTATCACCGTATTCATAACAACCCCTTTGCGGGTTTGGCTGGTCATATTGATTTTGTGCCAGATAACTAGAATAACCATTGTAGGAAACTCATGTCGGTGGTGCATTAAACGAACTTACTGGAGCACATCAAATAATTCGGTGTGTCGACTGGGCTAGCCGACTGCCCGAGTCCCCGCCATAATGATTTATACTTGCAGAGTAGAATCCATTGAATCCCCCAGAATCTCGAGACGTCTTAGTCTCCTTAGTTTTCTTTTTCCTCACCCCGAACACATTCTAATATCTTGGCAATTTCTACTACTAGCAGAAATGAAGTATTAGCCTATAGCTCCCAAGTCGTATAAACTTTTACGATTATAATTGGGTCCTTTAATGAGTCTGTGGACTCGCTCTCTGGTCGTAGGAAGCAAAGGAGGAACATGACGGACTAACTTATTGAACCTGATGGCATATTATGACACAGTCATGGTGACCTGACGCAACCGTTCACACCCTATGCGCCACGCATTATGGAGAGTCCGGGAAACAAACTCTTTCAAAAGGGTTTCTAAGAACTCAGCCAAGTGGGCGGTGTTGCATTGGCTGGTCTTCCCTCTTAATAGGCTTGCCACAAACACCGATGGAGAATTATCTCTCCCAAAGCCAATTTCTTCTTTTGTTATGCTGACTCAACACTGTTGAGCTGACCCATTTCTTAACATACTCTTCGATTCTTCTTTGGGGTAACCCTTTTGTTATTCTGTTTTGTTTCCACAAAAAGATGTGCAGAAGAGTAGTATGAGCACACCATAGCTGTACCAGTAAGTGCCAAGCCTAACCTTGGTAGAGTAGTGACGAGGTCAGGTCAGGCCCTACTGGAGAATAAATAATGTCATGGTAAAATATTTAAATAATATTATAAGATAAAATGACAATGGAAATGAATCAAGTAGTATGTCACATTTAATTACATCAAATAATGGCAAATAAATACCTCGTGAAAATAAAACAGAATTCTTTTTAACTTTAAGAAAATCACAACAATAATCAAAGGCAACTGCGGCCATAAATCAATATCAACAAGGGCACTCCCGAGGTACCGCCTCGTAGTCCCAAATCATAAATAAATTCACAATATCTCATTTCCTTATCTCACCGCGGGAGCCTTCACAATTTATTTTAAAGAAAATATTTTTCCCGAAATAGCATCCCGTGTTTTAGTCATCATTATCACACCGCATGACTTCTAGTAGTTCCCCCTACTATCCACGCGTATCAAGCCACCCTTATCTCACCGCATGTGTTTTAATACACAGACCTTATACCACCGCATGCGTATCAATATCACAATATATCACAATTTGCACCTCAGGTGCTCAAAATATTAACTTGCCAAAATAATTCAACAACAATATTTTTTTACAATAAAGAGCTTACGGCTCATGTAAAAAATAATTCATCAATAATATTTTTCCACAATAAAGAGCTCACGGCTCATGTCAGAATAATTCAACAATAATATTTTTCCACAATAAAGAGCTCACGGCTCATGTCAACATAATTCAACAATAATATTTTTTTACAGTAAATAGCTCACTGCTCCATCACAATGAGTACAAAAATCTTACAAAAATATTCATAAGTAAATAATTCAGGAAAATAATATTTTAAAATCTTTAATACGTTGCTTCAATATCAAGTTTTAAAATGTCAAATACTTCATATTAATAATATTTAATTTAAAAAAAATCAACCTTCAAATAATGCACAGAATAAAAGAAACCAAGTTCCAACTAAACAGATAAAACAATTAGCAGGAAAAAGGTCAAGCAAATTTAAAATATAAACATTAAATCAATAATGAAGAATATAACAAAATAAAATAATTTAATTAATGCGCAACAGTGATCTACACAATTTAAAACATAATCTTTCATATTTAGCCTGTGTACACACTCGTCACCTCATGTACACGACTTTTCACACATTATAATTATCAATCCTAGAGGAAATTTCTCCCACACAAAGTTAGACAAGTCACTTACCTCGACTTGCTCCAATTTAACCAAGTATTATGCTTTTTCCTTGATTTTCCGACTCCGATCGACTCGTATCTAGCCATAATTAATTCGATACAGTCAACAAAAATTATAGTAATCAATTTCACAAGAAAATATTACATTTTTCAATGAAATCCGAAATTAGCTCAAAATTTGCCCGTGGGGACCACATCTCAGAATCCGGCGAAACTTATAAAATCCGACAACCCATTCAATTATGAGTCCACCCATACCAATTTTACCAAATTCCGATAACAACTCAGTCTCCAAATCTAAATTTTTATTTTTGGATGATTTTGCAAAAATCTTGATTTTTCTTCCATAAATTTATGGATTCATGACGTAAATGAGTATGGAATCATGAAATATAATCAATATAGGATAAGGAACACTTACCCCAATGTTTTCCCGTGAAAATCGTCCAAAAATTCAAAACGAAATGAAGGAAATGACCATTTTTGGTCTTTAAGTTTCTGCTCATCCGTTACTAAAAGTTCATTTTCCGTCACTAAAAGTCCACCAGAACTTGCTTGTACCAGTCTTCCTTCAATCGTTCATAATTTTATGTACAAATGTCTAAATGATGAATGGTTTAACTTTCTGAAAATTAGAATCAAACTACTACAACTTTCATGATTTGAAAAATTTCCGATTCCTTATGAATTGCGAGATATAAGGTTCCAAAATCGGTTCCACGCATCAGAAATTTCCGGCGAAACGGCTCTACCAGCCTTCATTCAATCCATCATAACTTTCTGTACAAATATCCAAATAATGAATGGTTTAACTTTCTGGAAACTAGAATCAAACGACTACAACTTTCGTGTTTTAAAATTCTTTCGATTCCTTATGAATTGCGAGATATAAGATTCTAAACTCGGCTCCAGGTACCAGAAATATCTGGCGAAATTTCTGCAACAGCAACCCTCTTTGTCCGAAATCCATTCCGATTACCTTCCGAAATCCACCCGAGACCCTCGGAACCTTAACCAATTATTTCAATATGTCCCAAAATACAATACGAACTTAGTCGAGGCTTCAAACCACATCAAACAACATCATAACGACGAATCACACCTCAAATCAAAATCTATGAACTTTGAACTTTCAAATTCTATATCTTGTGCCAAAACACATCAAATCAATTCGGAATGACTTCAAATTTTGCACACAAGTCATAAATAATATAACAGACCTATTTCAATTTCCAGAATCGAATTCCGACCTCGATATCAAAAAGTCAACCCCCGGTCAAACTTCCCAAAAATTCAACTTTTGGCATTTCAAGCCTAATTCCACTATGGACTTCCAAATAAAATTTCGATCATGCTCCTAAGTCCAAAATCACCATACGGAACTGTTGAAATCATCAAAATTCTATTCCGTGATCGTTTGCACATAATTTGACATCCGGTCACTATTTGAACTTAAACTTTTAATTTTTCATCAAAATTCCATATCTCGGACTAGGAACCTCGGAATTTAATTATATTTTAGCACCTTCATTGGCCATGATTTCACTTACATGCCAGTACATCTGAAGATCGACGCAAGACATGACTAAACCATCTCAAGAATCTTTCTTTTATTTTATTCTTAATGTGTGCTATTTGCACCTTTTACCGAATATGATCGCTTTTAATCCTCTCATTTTACATTTATAATACTGCTTTGCTAAATGGAGCAATAAGATTGAATTTGTCAAGGTCAGAAGGCTACCTACTTCCCTTTTCCTTAGGTCATGAATGACTTAGGTATATAAAAACCTCTGAAAAGTTTAATGCTACTAGTAGCTTGGATCCATGTAATCACAGACATAGAATATATAGCTAAAGCTTAAACATAAAAAGACCAAACCTACAGACTCATATTCATGTCATGGATTTCATTAGTATAAATATATCTATCGTTTTCCATTGGTAACAGTTGTTGAGCAATCATTAGTTTAAATGTATCCATCTTTTTCATTAGAAGGTGAGTCTTGGAGCAACAGTAAAGTTGTTTTCACGTGACCTATAGGTCTTGGGTTCGAGCCGTGGAAGCAGCCAATAATGCTTGCATTAGGGTAAGTTGTCTACACCGTACCTCTTGGGGGTGTGGCCCTTTCTCGAACCCTCCGTGAATGCGGAATGCTTTGTGCACCGGGCTGTCCAATAGTTGTTGAGCAAATTGTTCGTTAAACCATCAGTTTCGGACACGTATATATTTTGTTAGTATTAAGAGACGATGAAATGTGTCCATTTGCATATATTATTAATCAACATAAGCAGTGGAATTATAAAAGATACTAATGACTTTTTACTAAGTACATTGTCTTCTGGAATAGAACAGTTGAGCAGAGAAGATGGGGTTGTTGACAAACATAGTTGAGAGGAGTGAAATCAAACCGGGAGACCATATTTACACTTACAGAACTGCCTTTGCTTACACCAACCATGGTAAAATTCATAATAGGCTACTGCTGTAATCTTGATTTTTAATGTTTCATTTGGTTTTGACAGTCAAGATTTGTCTTTTCTCATAGAATAGGCGCTCCTGATATCTTTCATTGTTTTATTTGGATTTTTTGGCCCTCAAATTGGCAACATTTTACCTGCATCAGGGATTTACTTGTTTATATATTATTCCATTCGATCTTTTAGATCCTGACTTCACCTTGATGGTTAGACCACCATGCCCTTAAAGTCTATACACGATAGTTTTGAGGAAGTGAGTCGCTTAATTTATACATATGGAGGTTCATATGAGTTATGTCGCTTGGAGCCTTGGACTCTCCAAAAATGCTGCGCGCTAGTGTCGGATACTCCAAAAATACATTACTTTTGGATGATCTGACACGCACTGCGGCATTTTTGAAGAGTCGGAGCAAACACTGCATATGTGTATAATGGCTTGAATCAACAGCTTGTGTGTAATTTTATATTCAAACAATATTGAATTTAGTAGAAGTTACCTACATCAGGATGACAAATTTTCATAATTGAGCAATAAGTAGCTCACTTGTATCTATAGAGGTTAATATGTATATCTGGCTTAAATTGATGTCTTGCATGCGAATTTTGATATAGTTACTGAAATCAGCATGAAATTTTTAGTGTTTATGCCCCGAGCACCTTACTTTTTATGTATGGAGGTTCATATGTGTACAACAACAACTTGCGTCAGTCCCAAACAAGTTGAGATCGGCGATATGAATTCATTACTTTCACTGGCATTCAGTTTGTATAGGTTTTGTACTACATCATTAATTAGACACTGAAATCTAGCTGATCAAAGTAACATGATTAACCATACGAGAGTCCACTTCATCTTATAAATGCAGCCTTAAGCTATGATTTTAATTAAGTACTGTTGCTTGCTCTACCACAGCATGAATCTATTGGAAACGGCCACTCTACCTTCCCATGCAGGGGTAAGGTCTACGTACACACTATCCTCCCCAGACCCCACTTGTGAGATTCCACTAAGTTTGTTGTTATTAATGTTGCTCAACCGCGTACTTTTCTATCTTTCTTGGTGGTACAATAAAACCTATGTATGACTCCTCTGTCTTATATCTTCTGAAAATATGGAATTCATAGGTATTTTTGTTGGTGGAAGCAAAGTGGTCCATTTTAACTGTGTCGAGGCCTCGGCCTCTGCCTCTGCCTCTTCTGATGCTGCGGCTGAGGAAACATCAGACATTTCTTCGTCATGTCCAACTTTTCCTGACTGTGGATTTAAGCTACCTAACAGTGGCGTCGTTCTTTCTTGTCTGGATTGCTTTCTTCGCAACGATTCACTCCACAGATTCGAATATGGAGTTAGTTCACCTGTTTTTCTTGCCAAAGTAAGAGGGGGAACTTGCTCTACTGCAGTGTCCGACCCTCCAGAAACAGTCCTACACCGCGCAATGTATCTACTTCAGAAGGGATTTGGGAACTATATTGTGTTCAAAAACAATTGTGAAGACTTTGCATTGTACTGCAAAACAGGACTTCTAACAGTTGATAGACTCGGCGTTGGAAGTAGTGGACAAACTTCTTCTATCGTTAGCGCTCCTTTAGCTGCACTTCTTTCCTCCCCTCTGAAGTTGCTAATTCCTCCTGTTGGTGTGGCCACAGTAACAACAGGGATGTATTTTATGAACAGATATAAAACTGATTTTGGTGTTCGAAAAGATGTTGTCAAAGTAGCAGTTGAAGAACTTGCAGCGAAGCTTGGCTTTGGTTGCAGAAATGAGAGATCGATTGTAGAATGTGAGGCTTCTAATTCGGGAACTGGTAGATGACATCAGTACTCTAATTACATACAAAATGTTCTTGATATTGTACATTTAGGATGAAAGTTGCGTATTTGATTAGCGTATAATGTGTCATTCTCTTATTATACATATTGCTACAGAAACTGCTTTTTGGTTATTAATGTGTGAAAGGATAATGATCCTCTTCTAAGTTGACAGTGAGTTCTTTTTAATGATGAACCTGCGGTTGATTTTGGCCAAATACATAAGCAGATCCCTTTTTTTCATTTAGACGCTTAAACTAAGTGTTGTTCCTATTAAACACTTGAACTCAAGCTCAATTGTATCTATTAAACACACATGGATAACACGGCACTATGCGTGTAAAACATCAAACTTGAGCGTGTGAGGGCCAGAAAAAAAAAATCTAATTGGTATACTACAGTTTGAGCTTAGGTGTTCAATATGTCAGTCTTAGTTCAAACGTTTAAATGAATTTTTTTTGACAAGTTTAAGAGCCCGTTTGGCCATGACAATTTTTTTAATTTTTTTTTCGAAATTTTTTTACTTTTTTCGAAATCATTATTTGGCCATAAAATTTTCAACTTCCACTTTTAAGATGAATTTTGGAATTTTTCGAAAATTTAAAAAACTCCAAAATATTATTTTTCAAAATTTTCACTTAGGTCACTAATTAAAATTCAAAAACAACACAAAATTATATTCATGTCCAAACACTACTCTAATTTTCAAATATCATTTTCACTTGAATTTTTTGGAAATCTTACAATTCTTATGTCCAAACGCCCACTAAGTAAAATATATAACAAAGAGATATAAAGATTTTTATACTGGCTCGCGCACCGATATGATATTTACGTCTAGTCCCTTTGGTAACAAGGTTTTCTTATTAGCTTCACAGTGCAAGTTGATTACAGCACTTGTGGTTTTGCTCGTTCACCACAAACGATCTAGTTCCTCTTTTGGTTTTATAAGCTCACCAACGAAACTACAATCTTTGACACACCTTATCTCATTTTCTATCACTAGAGTATGAATTCTTGAGTTGTAAAATTATTTTTTGTCATATTAATATAACTGAAATTTACTTATTATGACACATAAAAATATATTTATATTGTGACTCTTTTTTTTTGACTTTATTGTTAAGATAGGTAATATTAAGTTATTCAATGTGACAAAAAATAGTATTGTGACATTACTAACATAGCGGGTAAATTCAATTAGATTAATATGATGAAAAAAATAAGTTTTGTGTCTTACGGCTTGTTTGGAGGATTGTTACATGTTGTATTGTACCGTATTGTTACTTTAAATACAATGTTTGTTTTGATTGGTACTTAAATTTTATTGTATCGTATCGTTAAATCTGTTGTTATGAAACGACGAATTTGGTGTGGTCGCATCATTTTCTTATTTTATTTTTTCCTCTCATTTTGCTCTTTTTATTATTAAAAAAAATCATATTTTATCTTTTACCCTACCTTTTTGTATAATAATATTACCTCATACCTTAGTTTTTCTTTATAATATTGCAAGTGCATAAGTTCATGATACGACGGCAAACAATACAATCTATCCAAACATTATATACATCAAAACGATACAGTACGATACATTACGAAACGAAACATAACAACCATCCAAACAAGCTGAAGTTACAGACATAGAATAGCTAAAGCTGAAAAAGAAAAATGACCAAACATGCAGATTCCCTCATTGTCAGATAATATAATGTATCCATCGTTTTCCTTTGGTAACGGTTGGTGAGCAGATCGTTCGGTGAACCACTGATCTTCGGACACATTGTGTCTATTTTGTTATCTATATGGGGATTAAGAGACGGTGAAATTTGTCCATTTGCATGATTGACCAAAAGTTTGCACTAGTGGGTCTATGTAGGAGTTCTAAAAGATTGTGACATTTTTGCAAAAAAGTACATTGTTTTCAAGGACAGAGAAGTTGAGTAGAGAAGATGGGGTTGTTGACAAACAGAGTGGAGAGGAATGAGATCAAAGCAGGAGATCATATTTACACTTATAGAGCTGTTTTTGCTTATTCCCACCATGGTAAAATTCACATTAGGCTGCTGCTTTAATCTTTGATTTCCTTTTTTTAATGTTTTACTTGGGTTTGATGGACTTATTCGAGAGGCATTGATGTTTGCATCAAACATCAGGGTAAGCTGCCTACCCTTGGCATGTGGGCAGTGTAATCAGCCATTGATGCTTGCATCAGGTAGGCTGCCTACCTCACACCTCTTGGCGTGCGGGGTTCGAGCCGTGGAATCAGTCACTAATGCTTGCATCAGGGTAAGTTGCTTACCTCACACCACCTTAGCATGCGGGGTTCGAGCTGTGGAATCAGCCACTGATGCTTGTATCAGGGTAGGTTACCTACCTCACACACACCCTGGGATGTGGCCCTTCCCCGGACACTGCGTAAAGGCAGGATGCTTTGTGCACCGGGCGACCCTTTTATGCTTCCATTGTTCATTTTGGCCCTCAAATTGGGTAGAGTTTACCTGCAATCAGAATGATAATTTTTGTCATTGAGAAATGAGTAGTATATGGTGGTTCATATGTGTATAATGGCTTGAGTCAACACCTTGTGTGTGATTTTGGATTCAATTAATACTGAAATCAGTAGAAATAAACGCATTAGGATTCAGAACTCAGAACTTCTTTAATCAATTAGAATAGCCTACCTTTTAATCTCAGTAGAAAATCCATGGTGTTATTATGTGCTTAGATTGAACCATATCTTTATAAACAATACCATGAATCTAGTGCTTGGAAATTTTTAATCTCATACGTTCTTTTATTATATTTTCTTGTCTATCAGAAACAATCCCTACACACTACCCTCCCCAGACCCTACTTGTGAAACTCCACCGGGCTTGTTGTTGTTGTTGATCTCGAAAGTGGACATTCCCCCCTCGCCCGAATCTTCACAAAAAAAGGAAAAAAGAAAAAAAAAAAATTCCTGTGGTCAGCTACAAGTTTCTAAGATATACAAGTCCATGTTGTTTATATGATTTAACTTATCGTGCTACTTGAATTACTGTTGAATAGTGAGGTCAAATTTTCTTCCTGAAAACTAGTACAATTATTTTTTCAACTCTAAAGTCTTTTGAGAAATCTGGTTGTATTCATAGGTATTTTTGTTGGTGGAAGCAAAGTGGTACATTTTAACCGCGTCGAGGCCTCTGCCTCTTCTGATGTTGCCGAGGAAATATCAGATCTTTCTTCTTCATGTCCAACTTTTCCTGACTGTGGATTTAAGCTACCTAATAGTGGCGTCGTTCTTTCTTGTTTGGATTGCTTTCTCCGCAATGGTTCACTCTACATCTTTGAGTATGGAGTAAGCCCATCCGTTTTCCTTACTAAAGTGCGAGGAGGCACTTGCACTACTGCAGTATCAGATCCTCCAGAGATGGTCATACACCGAGCAATGTATCTTCTTCAAAATGGATTCGGGAACTATGATGTGTTCCAAAACAATTGCGAGGACTTCGCGCTGTATTGCAAAACAGGTCTTGTGACAGTTGATAGACTCGGTGTTGGAAGTAGCGGACAAGCTTCTTCTGTCGTTGGCGCTCCTTTAGCCGCGCTTCTTTCCTCACCTCTGAAGTTCCTAATTCCTAGTCCTGTTGGTATTGCCACAGTAACAGCAGGAATGTATTGTATGAGCAGATACGCGACTGACATTGGTGTTCGAAGTGATGTTGTCAAAGTAGCAGTTGAAGAACTTGCAGTTAAACTTGGCAGCAGAAGCAGCAATGAGATTGTAGAACATGAGGCTTATAATAGGGGAACTGCTAGTTGACATCAGTCTCATTGTCTAACATATAAGGTATTCTTGATATTGTATCACTTAATGATAAAGTTAGTATTTGTGTAACATATAATGTGTAGTTTTCTTATCATGAACTTGCTACATATAAATGTATATACTTGGATATTCATAGTTGTAACTTAGAGTGATTCTGGAAGTATCGACCTAATTTCGTAGAGTCTGAATGCAACATAAAGAACATAAGCCAGATGACATAACGGGAATATATGAGATGTAGAAGATCATAACACGAGAGATCTTGGCAAAATCATGGATCGCCTATGTGTTATCTTGAAATGGACCATATATTATTTATGATCATCTAAATGAATTTCCATTGATCGCTTATTAGTTATACTATGATCGTTTTTATATAAAATGGGAGATTCAAGTGAAATCATAGGTCGCCTATGTGTTACCTAGAAATCGCTCATGCATTATATGATCGTCTAAGTGATCTCTGATTGATCGCTTATATGTTCTTATCCGGATTATGTTTTTATAAAGTGAGAGATCCTGGTGTAATCATAGATTGCTTATGTGTTACCTAAAAATCGCATATGTATTATAGTTGATCGCCTAAGCGATCTTCAATTGATTGCTTATTAGTTATTAGTACGATCCTTTTTTATAATGGTAAAATCATAGATAGCCTATATGTTATCTAGAAATCATCTTTGTTGGTCGCTTATTAGCTATTACTAGGATGATTTTTTTTATAAAGTGGGAGATCCTGGTAAAATTATAGATTGCCTATGTGTTATCTAGAAATCGTCCACGTATTACTTATGATCCCTAAGTGATCTCTGATTGATCGCTTATTAGTTATTATTAGGATATTATAAAGTGGTAGATCTTGGAGAAATCATAGATCGACTATGTGTTACCCAAAAATCGTCCATGTATTATTCATGATCGCTTAAGTGACCCCCAGTTGATCACTTATTATTTATTATCAGGATTATTTTTTATAAAGTGGAAGATCTTGTTAAAATCATAGATCGCCTATGTGTTACCTAAAATGACATATGTATTATTTACGATTGCCTAAGTGATCTACGGTAGAACACTTATTAGTTATTACCAGGATCGTTTTTATAAAATGGGAGATCTTGGCGAACTTATAAATCGCTATGTGTTACCTAGAAATCGTCAGTGTATTATTTATGATCGCCTATGTGTTGTCAAGAAATTGCCCATGTATTCTTTATGATTGCCCAAGTAATTTTTGGCTAGTCGCTTATTATTTATTATTAGGATCGTCTTTTTAAAAAGTGAGAGATCTTGATAAAATCACATATGATCTACATGTTGTATAAAAATAGCACATATATTATTAATGATCATGTAAGTGTTTAATACAC